TGTAACATTGGTTTTGCTTTGTTTCACAGAACTAATCGTTGCCTGGGTTGCGTACGTATATGTGGGGCGGAGCTATCAAAATAGGGGCAAGACCCTTTTGGGGTAGGGGCGTGTTTGTTTTGGTGATTTCAAATATCAACATTGGCTACCAGAAATCACTTACTCTGCCTTTAATATTTTGGCTTTCATCACTAATTATGTTTGTCTTTTTTCAGAAAAAAATTTTTTTTGACAAAATTCAAAATTTGAGCAGGGGAAGTTTCTGAAATTTGGTTGATTCGACACAGAATGATCCTAATGACCACATCTTTAGGCAGCCATCATAAACACCCTATTGTGTTATTGTGAGGGCAGGTTTTGCAAGAACCACTCACATTTTTCATCTACTGTAGTTTGATCTACTTTTAAAACCACTTCTTCCTGCCTCTTTGAAACCCGAGAATTTCTTCCCACATATAAAATTAGCTAATTCAATCTGTGCTTCTACTTTTAGAGCAGAATTTCATAAGGAAGCATAGTTTCCTCATAAGCACCCATACCGTGAGGTTAGTAAAGAATGTCAGGCCTGCAGAGACACAAGGTTATAAACGATGGCTCTCTTTAATGGCACTTCCTCTGAACCTCTCTCTGCCTCGTTTCCTCATTAGTACCGCAGCCTATCAAAACCATACATCCCTGTCATAAAGTAAGTGCAAAAAAAAAAGGGTTCAACGGATATTTAATCTCACACTAAATCTTTTTTTTTCTTTTACACAACCTACAGAGAGACATAAATGGAAGGAAAAGTAATTACTCCACCGGTGGATGTATTTCTAAATATCAAACTTCAGAGGAGGTTCAAACACGCAGGCTCATCTGTTCAGTGGCTTAAAGTAGCAATAACAGCAGCGTATGATCAATGCAAAGCCAGCAGGTGTGTGACTCACCAAGAAAAGATCAATTCAAAGTCCAAACAGAAAATGTGTGCGTGTCTTTGAATCATGCATGTTTGTCTGCTTTTCCACAGACTATTTATACCCTGGCAAATCTTTGTCTGTCTTGTCTAATTTTGGCCTGATTGTGTCTAACTCTACAAACACTAGAGGATATGCTGTTTACTCTTGTCTGGTTGGGTGTACAGTACTGAAAAACCACAAATGCCACATTTTTTTTTTTACATTTTCAGATGTGTGTTTGAAAGGGTCTGAAGGGTCGCTTCTTATTTTTTAAATTATTTTTACTATCAATTATTAAAGATAAATTATGCTTGCAATTATAAAGGTCAATAATGTACATTTCCATTAACACATTCTTAGCATTTATAACTCTTTTTAGGGTTAAAGGGATAGTTCATCCAAAAATGAAAATTCTGTCATTTACTCACCCTTGAGTCGTTCCAAATCTTTCATTCATCTTTGAAACACAAATGAAGATATTTTGTTCACACTTTATTTTAAGGTTATTAACAAAACATTAATGATGACTTTTGGCTCAATAAACTCCTAATTCGCTGCTTATTATAAGGTAGTTGTTAAATTTAGATATTGGGTAGGATTAGGAATGTAGAATATGGTCGTGCAGAATATGTGCTTTATAAGTGCTAATAAACAGCCAACATGTTAATAATAGGCATGCTAATAAGCAACTAGTTAAAAGTGAGAGTTGGTCCCTATGCTAAAGTGTTACCAATATTTTATATGAAACTTGAGAGATTTCTGTCCCTCCATTAAAAGTCCATTCCACCAATACTTTGACTTTCAAAAAGTGAATTAGGACATCGTAATAGTAATCTATATGAATGGATCAGCACTTATATCGGCATCTACATGAATATAAATGCACACATAACTTTTGCACACATATAAATGTACAGTCAACAGCAGCTCAAATATAGGTTAATTTTACGTCTTTATGAACTTTTTGAAGCTCGAAGTTGAGTGGAATGGACTTTCAATGGAAGAACAGAAATCTCAGGTCTTATAAATATCATAATTTGTACTTTGAAGATGAACGAAAATCTTATGGGTTTGGAACTACATGAGGGTGAATAAATGATGTTAATATTTTCAATAGCTCCATTGATTGTTATATTTTAAATCATAAGTAAAGGTTTTGTGGACGTACTGCTTCATCCCCATGTTTTATTCTAGAAAGCTGATACCTGCGTTTCAGTGACATCCTGACAAAACTTTGAATTGGATAAATTACAGAGATTGTTTGCCGTTATGAGAGACCAGATGACAAAGATGTCAGGAAGAAAGAAAAATCCTCCGTAGCTCACACTTTAAGTATGATGCTAGCGAGGTCATGTGTTCAGTTCCCAGTGTGGTATGAACCCTACACATCGAAGCTTAGTACTGAGGGTTAGAATTTGTTCAAATCACTAACCCCAAGTATGAGCAATAATAATAGTGATGCTTGTCTATCATAGTAGGATTTTTTAGCATCCAAAACCAAACCTTTAACCACAACGGCTAAATGCATATGCAGTCCCGGATTACACATTCCGGAAGTCTTCGCTAATGATATTCTTGGTCTGATGAAGTAGGAAATCTCTGGTTTGGCTTAAAAAGGATCAGTGACATGTAGGCTGCAGCTTCAGCATCAGACATCCGAGATAATGAGAGTGAATTACAGCTTTTTTGCATACGAGGGGCCCTCTGGTACAAAGCTGCTATATCACGTTACAATAAAACTCCTGATTGCAATGCAGTTTTGAGCTCTATTTATAGTCAGTGACACCGTCACCAGACCTGTGTTACGAGGGGTGGATGGAAGCTATTATGACAGAGGTCACAATTCAATTGCATAATAAAGTGAAGATGCTGTGTCGCTATGTGCGGTATACTCGACTGTGTCTCGCGCACACGCATACTGTGCAGTGTCCATCAGGAGGCCGAGCACACTAAGAGCTTTCTCAATTATTCAGTGCACCCTGTGCAATCTATTACATCACATCCATTATGAAGGAGCCAGGCCTTAAAAATCTATTCTCTGTATAACTGCAATCCTCCAAGCATCAGGTTAACAGCATTAAGACACAACAAAATCATTCACTGTTGAGCCAGAAGGTCATATATATATATATAAAATGTCTTTTGTTATTCAAAATAACAGCAGGATGAACGCAATGAATCAAGAGTGGAAATCACAATGTGAGCTGGCATGCTGTTCGGCAATGATATGATTTTTTGACTGCTGTAAGAGGTCCTGAAGAGTTCAAATTATTTATGTTCTGCAGCAAAATGGGGATATTAAAGGAATAGTTCAACCAAAAATTAACATTCTGACAATTTATTTGACGTCAATGATGTCAAACAACATTGATCATGATGCAACTGACATAAAAATATATATATATCCAATGCCTTTTAGCGTTAATGACATTGACACACCATTTTTTTACTCACTATAACTCCATTTTAAGGCTTAAATTTTGAGCTGTTTAGAAGCTATTGTATGACTTCTGAAATTGTGTGGACTACTTTTACTTAAGCGCCTTTTTTGACAATTTGGTGACAATTTGACATTTTTTAATAATAGAATAGAATAGAATAGAATAGAATAGAATAAAATAATTTTATGGCGTGTTTTTCTTAATGTTTCAAAGCTTGCTGGCTCCAGTCCCCATTTATTTTCATATGGAACAAAGAACCACGGACATTCTACTAAACATCTCATTTTATGTTTCATTAAAGAAAGGGGGATATTAAAGGAATAGTTCAACCAAAAATTAACATTCTGACATAATTTATTTGACGTCAATGATGTCAAACAACATTGATCATGATGCAACTGACATAAAAATATATATATATCCAATGCCTTTTAGCGTTAATGACATTGACACACCATTTTTTTACTCACTATAACTCCATTTTAGGCTTAAATTTTGAGCTGTTTAGAAGCTATTGTATGACTTCTGAAATTGTGTGGACTACTTTTACTGAAGCGCCTTTTTTGACAATTTGGTGACAATTTGACATTTTTTAATAATAGAATAGAATAGAATAGAATAGAATAATTTTATGGCGTGTTTTTCTTAATGTTTCAAAGCTTGCTGGCTCCAGTCCCCATTTATTTTCATATGGAACAAAGAACCACGGACATTCTGCTAAACATCTCATTTTATGTTTCATTAAAGAAAGACATGTTGGATACTTCCTTGTAAAAAAATAAAAAACACGTACACTTAGCAATTTAAAAAGTTTTACGTTTTCAAAAGAGTAATTATATACTTTATAAGAATAGATTTAAGTGCGACCTGAATGTAATGTTTTTAGACACTTAACTGCATTACATGAAAATTCAATTATAGTTTAAATTTATATAAATGCAATTAGCTGAACTTTAGAGTGCTTTTTTGACCCACAAGTACATCTTTATATGTAATTGTATTATTACTTCTATTACCTTTGAAATACTAGCAAATGTACCGACCAGTATTTATGGTAAATTAAATATACTTTTATGTCATTTCTATTGAAACATGTATATTTGTAATTGCATGCTTGTGATGATTAAGTATTTTAAATTTAGTACATTTAAAATACTGAGCATCAAATAGCACACTACAGTTAACATGCTTTAGTATGTTATTCAACACATTAAAATAAGTGTACTTCTAAAGCAAAACAAAATATTATCAAAACATAAACATGATTTAAAATGCAATTTGTTTTTAATTTGACACTATTACTAAGTGCACGTTTTAAAAATGTACTTACATGTGTTAAAAAACACTGTCATGAAAGTGTACTCTTTTTAAATTTAACTGGCCTTTTATTTCATTAATAATATATATATTATACTTGTAGGTTTGAAGCGCACTACAAATGCTCATTCAATAGAATCAAGTGCACCTCTTTTTCACAAAGGCTGCCACTTTTCCTTTAATGTTATATTCTAGTTAGATTTTTAGTCCACTGAAGTGTGACTGGTCTCCTGGCATGTATTATATAAGCAAAAACTTTGGTGTTTGCAATCATGACACTGAAGCAAGGGCTTGAAGTTGGACTCACATCCATAGTGGTGATGTTGCACCTGTGTGGCCAGGCATCTGCAAACCAGCCATCTGCAGAGCACTGATCAATATCCACATCCTGCAGGCTGACGTCCAGACGAACAACACCCCTATATGATATTATAGAGCACAAGAGAAAAAGAGAAATTAGTCTATTGCTAACTGTAAAGAAGCTGAAAGTTGACACTGAAAATTCAAAAAAAGAAAAAGTGCACTTCAAATACCAGATGATGTACTTATTTAAATGAGAAAATGAAGTGTGGAACTTTGGACACTTCATGCACTCAATGGTTGCAGATTTAATTATGTACCGGAATGGGACTGACTATTATACTCTGATGTTGGATGACAAAATAACTTCATATAATTCATACACTACATAGGTGCATAGTATTTCATTTGGGACACTCAATTCATGAAACTGTACTGCAAATAGGCTATTTCATAAATGGAACAGGGTCTGAATAAGAAATAAGAGCTTTTGCCAGTGAGCGACCACCAGGGCAATATTGTGGTTTGCACAGGCACCAATCACGATTTCTTCAGAAAATGATCTAGTTTCTCTGCTACAATCTTTCCTTAGCATAGCTTTTCCACAACACAGAAAGGGTATAGACAGAATTCCTTTACTTCATATAGGGCATTGTGCAATTTACTGCAAACATAAAAATCGTTTTTTCATTCTATATTATTCATTTGACACGATCATATGAATGCATCAAAATTATTACATGTTCTATGCATACACAGCGGAGAAAAACAGCATGTCAGTTTACAATAGAATATTGTAGGCTATATAAACATACATACTATTATAGTAACAATATGGTTTAAAGAATGTCATCATTGTCTGTGTTATTGCCAAATGGTCGACCAATAATTTTTTTTTTTTTAATTGGCTGATTTTGATATCTACAGAGCATAGTGATCTTGATGATATCAAATAAAATGTTATGAATTTGAAAGAAAATAATGTACAGTACCTTTCATTGTATAAATTATTTTTTTTTTAAATTGCCGTTTATAATTATATTCATTTAAGATAAATTATTTGCTGTCTGGGTGGAACAAATCTTGTGTCTGTATCTAGGCTGCAGTGTGCTAATTGATGACCTCTGGACAAGGTTGTCGGTATTTGGAACTGAGCCAAATAAGTGAATGCTTCCTGAAGTGGCTGTGGAGCTTCGTAATAACATAGAAAGCCAGCAAGAGAATAACCTTAAGGGGAGACACTGCAGGCAAAAACACAGTTTTTTCATGCACCTGTCAAGTTTGAGATTTTGGGCTTTTTGGATTTTCATAAAGTGTTTTTTTCAGACTAGTGGAAAGAAAACATCCAAAAGACACTGTTAAGTGTTTCTTTTCTAGCACTTTATCTATCGGTGTCAATAGATTTAAATTGCAATACATATTTTTAAAGGCCGTAGCCATAAATCTCCACTTCAGTAGCACTTACACAAACCAAACTTTACATTTTTATTCCTGTCTATATCCTGAAGGTTTTTACAGAGGGATTTGTTCATATATACTTTGCTTAATTATATACAACATTTTATTCCTCCCAAAACTGTGAAAATATAGTGTTTCTGTCCGTTCTAAGCATTTTCTGAATTATGGAGTGACAAAAATGAGATACCCAAAATTCTCTCTGTAAACACATTTGACTCTAATATGTCAAAAAAATTAAACAAGAATTTTGAAACTGACATCATCCAGTGTTTAGATTTTTGTACTAGAAATGTATGCAAATTAGCGCATATTTCATTAAATAATGACTCATTTGCATATCTAAACCTATCATTTTAGAAAACTTGTAATACAAAAAATGTTGGCAATTATCTATGTAATCAATCAGCTGGGTAAGTAAGGCGATAACTATTAGTTGTTGTTTTTTTACCCTATTCACCTGCAGTGTCTCACCTTAGAGATCAGCATGCCTGGCATCTACTGAACACCCACTTCTGCCTAATCACTTGCCTGTGTTGCATTAAAATCTACTTAAAATACAATATGTGCACTTTAAATAAATGTATCATAGCATTAGTTTTGGCAGTAAAAAAAAAAATTCAATTTGAATTGCCCAGCAAGCCAAAGTCACACAAACATGCTGATTGCTTACTGAAACCATTGTTGAAATGTTGAAATTTAGCAATATTCCAAGTAAGTACTTGACCTGCACATAATAGCATACTAAAATTGCATTATTTTTACCACACTTTCTAACATATATTTTGTGGTTTGCTCATTCACTGAAAAATGAACAGAATGAATCCATTTGGTGCAAGTGATGTAATGCTAAATTTCTCCAAAATCTGTTCAAATGAAGAAACAGACTCATCTACATCTTGGATGACCTGAGAGTGAATAATTTTTTCTTTCACTTTTGGGTGAACTATTCCATTAACAATTTGATATGAAATATACTGCATATCAAATACCAAATCAAAATATGCTTAAATATGATGTTTTGTATAACCAGTTGCTTCCTAAAACCAGTCTGTGAGTGTTAAGGAAGTGAGTTGATGTGCATATAGAGTATCAAAGGCATATGGAAATGATGCTAATAATCCTCTAGACTCCATCTTTCTCATGTACTGCAGGTGAAAAATCATTATAAGCTATACTGTGGTGAACGCTGGTCCTGCAGGCATGCAAACATAGATCAGAAAACAATGAGGAGGAGGACTGCCTGAGGTAACTCTCTGAAATCTCTGTTTCTCTCTGTGACTATATCCGTTTCCTGTCTTTTACTCTTTCTTCCCCTCAGACAGACACAGAAGGTGCAGTCATGGAATAGTCTCTGCTCGCCTTAATTGAAGCCTTGGCCAAGCAAGTGTGCTAAATTTAGCGGCCGTGTTCATCAAGCGTCGGAACGCCACATCCTTCATCCAAGGTCAAATAGGACCTATGGCTCTGTATTGCCGTTATTAACTCACAAGACAGAAAGTGGATTGGTAACAATGCCATCATTTTGTCTTGATGATGAAAAGCCTGATGATTATTGGGATTAGTATAAATTGACTGAAATTACTGTGGCAGACTATGTGACATTGTATTGTATTTCAGTCTTCCCTGAGATTGAAATGACATCTGGGGAAGCTGACAAGAGCTGTTGAGAATTTTTGTTGCATCTTTTTCAACCAAGGCATCTATATTTTGTTAAAATGCACAACATAATTGTCAACAATTTTCTCTGACTTCTCAGAGCACATTAGCTTGCTTGACTAATACATTATAGAGTAAGAAGCATAAATAAAATAAATAAAATAGATAGATAGATACATAGATAGATAGATAGATAGATAGCCCAAGCCCAAGCCCAAGTCCAAAGGTTCAGAATTATGCTATAGATACATCGCGTTTACAGCCAAACGCCATCAAATACAGTGTTTTAAATTGATTACAAACGGTGTAAAAAACACGCGAAAATACGTCAATGACCCAGTATCTGACGGTGTTTTAGTGCGCATGAATAATAATAATAATAATAATAATAATAATAATAAAATCAAACCGTTTGTCATTTCTCGTTATTTCTTTTTGTTTGTATTTCGATTTGGTGTTAAATCAAACTTAAGTCATTCAAATAAATAAATATTCCAAGCCCAGAGTCGATTATTCAGAAATAACTGAGCAGAAAAAAATAATATGCATGTGGCAGCAATGTGTCACCACAGGACTTGAACCAGGGGTCAAACACTAACAAAAAGGCTAAGGAGCATTGCCTCCAACTTCTTTAGTTGCACAGCTTTTACACATTCTCTGACTTCCGTTAGCCTATACTATGAACGATTTCTTATTTTGGAAATGAAATTACTCAAAGCTAGGGATGCACCGATACCGAGCTCCTGTACCCGTACTCGTACTCGAACTCGTTAAAATGACCCGATACCAAACGCCGATACCACACAGCATGTGATAAGGGCCATATGCAGACAAAGAAACACCGACAACAGAACAAAAGACAGCAGAATGGAGTTATTAGAGATTAAGGATGTCTATGAAGTATATGTATGCAATGAATATAATGTTAAACATTCAGTATTAACACCTGTATAGCTGATGTGAGTTTATAGTTCGGTCGGATATGTCAAAGACAAGTAAGTAAAACAATGCACAAGTTACTTAACGGTAGGGAGAGAGCGAGAGAGAGACAGAGAGAGAGAGCGAGGGAGAGCACGCGCGCACTTCTGTTGTGTGATCTTTGATGTTCACTCACTGAGCACACGCATCATTTGAATTAAAACGAAATCGTACAAATAAAACCATTCATAGGGGCATCATTTATTTTCAACTTTAGGCATACACGACTTTCTAGCGAAAGTGAATCTAGCAGCCTGTGTGAAATGCGCTAGGCTGTACTACTGTCCTCTCATTCTGCACCAGTACAAATACGTGCACGCGTTGCACGTGTTTTGCTTGCTTGAGTGTTTCTGCATTATATGAGTGGCTTTGGAATATAAATCGCAGCACGTTTCAGATGAAAAAAACGCGACATCTATTTCTGAAAATATCACACTTAGGAGATTTATAACGTGTGGTTCACAGCAAAGCGTGTGATTACAGTACTGAGCCGCTGCAATAGAGCAGCTCTAATGCTATTAAATTAAAGATGATGTACAATAGTGCAAAAAAATTAACAGTGAAAGTAACAAAAACTTGTAAAATACATTTTAATGGGCATAATTAAGTGTGAAAATAACCGAAGGACATACAGTGAAACCAAAAATGATTCAGAGACCAGATATAATTTTTGATATTTTTTTACTAGTGGGTGCAGGACACTATAGTTAATTTATGTAAAGTGAGGATAGCAAAATAAAATAGACTGTGACAAATCATACCCAAAAATTCTTCATACAGTGGACTACCAATAAAACTGATACAAATTTGGGTCCAAAAATTATTCAGACCAAGTCTGGGAAAAAAACTGAAGTTGAGGTTTTCATGAACCTGGGTGACAGCATGCCCAGGAGACTACAGGCTGACATTAAGGCTAAAGGTTGCCCGACTAAGTATTGATAGTTGTGTAAATACTAACAGCTGTCTAATATTTGGTTGATTGTAATCCATTAGGCTACATACCTTTCTATCAAAGTTATCTAACATT